GTGACCAGAGGTCCTAGTTCCTAACCAGCATTTCACAGATTATTGGGGGAGAATTCATTTCTGTCTCCTAAGCTTACTGTGGCTTTACCTAGACACGTCTTCTGTTTCTAAATTTGAGATATAATTCATAGACCATAAAACTCAGTCTGTAAAAGGTACAGCTTGCCCTAGCCAGTTTGGCTCTGTGGATAGAACATCAGCCCACGGACTGAAGGGTCTTCAGCTTCGATTCCCGTCAAAGGCACATGCTCTATTCCCCACTCTGATTGAGGCCTGTGCAGGAGATAACCAATCGATGTGTCTCTCTCACATGGATGTGAGAGAGGAACCCTCTGTTAGAGGAGGAGCAGCTCCCCAGGCCTCGCCCAGAATGCAAAGCCCTCCCGCTACTGGGCTCACCCAGATCCTGTGCAGAACCTCCTCGGACAGGCTCCCCACTTTGCTGTCTACACCACAGTCCATGTGTTTGTAACGACCAGGAAATCCAGGTCAGACCCCCTGGCCTGTCTTGCTTTTGAGGGTCCCCCGGGGACTTGTCTCTCGATGCTGTAGCCCAGACAGGCTCCGCTGCCTGACTCCCAGACTCCAAGTCCCTTAGTCCCACCTGCTTGGCTCGGCTCCCTGTTAGCCTGTGCTGGGTCTCATTCATGCCAGTCTCCCTGGCAGGCCTGTCGCACGTATCCCCCGAAAGGCATTTTTGTATGTGAACGAATGAATGCTCTTCAGCCCCTCCCAGTCTGGCCCCTCGTTTTCCCTAGGGAATTCTAGCTCCGTATCTACCATCTCACCAGCAGCTGGGGAGAGCCCCCAGACTGCCCAAGTCCCTGCTGGGCCTCGGGCCCTTCCCTTCCAATGGCTCAGAATTTGGACCCGGCTCCATCCTCCAAGACCAAGCTCCCAATGGTTGTGAGGTGCTGGCCCTAGTAATTGACAGCAATCCCAGCAAGGCAGTCATGGATGAAAGCATGCTCCTGCTTGAGTGGCATGGAAGTAACCTCCGGGGGGACAGAGGGGTTCAGCACAAGTCTGCAGCTTCTCGGAAAATGGTGGGATCCTGTCAGCCACCTACCCTCTTCTGCAGCAACAGAAGGCATTTGGTAACTGAGTTGAGACGTCCAGCTTTTAGTTATCTAGGTTTTTTTCCAGTTCACCTTTAAGAGTGAATTGTTTCCTTCTAAAACAATAGAGCTTTTGAACCATAGTTGTTTTCGTTAAGCAAATAAAGCAGAACCACTTTAGAATGTTTTATTTGCTGAAGAAAGGACACAGTCACATGATACACAATGTAAAAGCTCCCACAGGCTCTGGGGGAGTCTCCCTCCCCGGCAGCCCTCCCCACAGGTAACCAGTGTCACCATTGCTTGGGCCTCTTCCTGCAGGTAGAAAGAAGACATGATCAGGGACCCATTGGGGGAACTGTTGTGTATCGCAGCTGCCTTGGAGGCCAGCAGGGTCAGGTCTGTTTGCAGCGCTTGTGTCTGGGAATATCATGTGATTTATGATACTTAGAGGTCTTCTAAAAGAAAAAAGCCATGGGTTGACAGGGTCCGAATACAGTTCTGAATCAATAAACTACAAAAATGTTTGGGGGCACACAGGCTGGTGTTTACATCCAGTAACGCTTGTTTTCTAACAGACCCACCCTGAGTTAATAAGAAACACCATTAATAGAAACACCAGTTAATAACAAATACCATTTACACCCCTTTCCATAGGAATTCCTCGGAAAGTCTTTTTTTTTTTTTTTTTTTTTTTTTTTAGAGAAAGGTGTTAGAGCGGCAAGATGATACATTTAATGTATTGGCCTCCTGTTGTCTCACTTTTCTGTGGGTTTGTGCTTTATGTCTACTTGTTTGGGGGCACACAGGCTGGTGTTTATTTTAGAGCTGACAAATATGGAAGCAGCATGCCCACAGTCTGTGCAAGACTTTGGGAAGCAGGAGGAAGCTCATAGATGGTCAATCAAAATTCTCTTCATAGCCTGGCTGGCGTGACTCAGTGGTTAGGCATCGACCTAGGAACCAGGAGGTCGCAGTTTGATTCCCGGTGAGGGCACATGCCTGGGTTGCGGGCTTAATCCCCAGTAGGGGGCGTGCAGGAGGCAGCTGATCAATGATTCTCTCTGATCATTGATGTTTCTATCTCTCCCTCTCCCTTCCTCTCTAAAATCAATAAAAATATATTTTAAAAATTCTCTTCATAACGAAACATGGATTTATTTCCTGATGCAGAGCCAAGGGGGTGGGGGGTCCTCATTTTGAAAAGCCCTGCACAGAAGGAGCCTGACACGGAGCTACAGAGAATCGGGGTCTGTTTTTAGGATTCTGCAGGGCAGGTGGACTGAAATATTTCTTTTTTTAAAAAAATAGATTTTATTGATTTTTTACAGAGTGGAAGGGAGAGAGATAGAGAGTTAGAAACATCGATGAGAGAGAAACATCAATCAGCTGCCTCCTGCACATCTCCTACTGGGGATGTGCCCGCAACCCAGGTACATGCCCTTGACCGGAATCGAACCTGGGACCTTTCAGTCTGCAGGCCGACACTCTATCCACTGAGCCAAACCGGCTTCGGCGAAATATTTCTTTTTCCTGCTGCCCATCCATCTGATTGCGGTGAAAGTCATCATGGAGATAAAGTTGCTTTTCTGCTCTATTGAAAATTCTCGCTGACATGTACAAAGCAGAAAGAGGGGTGGCCCCTTCGGTCAAATTAGGGGAAATGAAGCCAACCCGGGAGAGCAAATGTGGGATTTTCCATAGATTTCATTTTGTAAAACATCATCCGTGACT